AAAAAAAAAAAAAAACTAATGTGATAGTTGGTAGATTAGATACATGAAGTATATTTTAACTAATGAAGTTGTATATTGCTCAGGGTCATATAACAAAAGGTTTTTTGTATATTCAAATAACACATTCATAACATTTGATATTTTTAGCTACTAGAAATAATGCTTTCATGAACATTTTTTTTTCTTTTTTAAGCATTGGCACCAAATGAATGCACTCTCTGAGCTTTATGCATCTCTTTTTTTTAATTTTAATTTTATTGAGAAACAAATATGAATGAGACAGTTTCAAAGCTGATTAATAGTACAGTTTTGATAATCAGTACATTGTACATTGTTATCTTCTTAGTGGTTGTCCATAGTACAAGAAGCAGACAAAATATCCTGTCCAAACACTATTAGTACACCTTTTTCTCATTGAAAGTAGCTGTATAGCTGTCCTATTTTGTGTATATAAATACAAAATGATCTTTCCTTTGTATCACCTTTTTTTGTTTAGTCCTGTCAGAGGTGGGTATTCTATTGGCATCTAAATACTATAGGTGTTTGAATTCAGCAAAACAATCCAACACTGTCCAGCAGTCTATAATATTAGTGGGTTATCTTCAGAAGTTATTGACTTGAGCCTTTTACAGGTCATTGTATTAATATGGCTTTACTTTATATACCTCATTTTTATACTTTCCTGCTGGATGGTTAAGACTAAGATAAAGCAAGACCTATATAACAAGAAATGTAACTTTTGTATCTGATAAGGTCAGTCACGTACCCTCAGGATTTATCCTGTAGCCCTGTAGATCCTTTGTCAGTGTCAGCCATGAGGATGAGTCACTGTCATTGCTTGACCAATTTGCTGTCTGTGAAAGCCTGAAAGAATGTTTTCTCTCCATGTGACTCTCCCCAGGCACACTATACATCATCGATCACATTCCTCTGTGGCTCCATAATCTCCTTGATCAGAAAATTTGGAGCACAACTGAGTTACATGATGTTACAGTACAGGTTCTCCTATGTCCCGAGTTTTCACTGACCTTGAGAGGCCAGGGCCAAAATGTTGGCTGACCTTGCAGCCCTTCCTTTTCTCCAGTTTTGATCTGCTAACTTAGGTTGTTAACCCTCCAGAAGAGAAGCTTATTATTAACCTGCAACATGCAGTTCGGTTTACCCTATCTGTCAAAATATCAAACATCTTTGGCTTATCATGGAACAGGTATTTTCCATCAAGTATTGATATGTTGAACTTTAAGTCCTTATAGAATATGAAGGAAAAATAATTTTTAAAAACTAGAAATAAGCATTGACATATTTTTACAAAGAAATTTGGAAAGCTAACTATATACAGAATTGTAATAGGACAGACCTGTGGCATTTTTTTTTCTTATTCTTTTTTTTCATTTATTACCCTTTTTTAAAGGAAAAAAACCTTTACTTGAGAGATAGTATGGCAATAATTGGTATGTCATGACAACAAGTACATATTTAGAAGACTAGGATGGCAGGCACTCCAAGCGTGACCCCTCTATTACACATTACCATCCTCAGTGCAGCCGCCTGGCTCACCAGCATATACAGTTGGTCAGGGTGAGAGTCTCACCAGCCAACCACTAGTCTCAAAAACCTGCTGATGTCCCCCAGGATCACAGCCTCACCCATCTTGTGCATACAAGTGCAAGGTTTTGCCCCTGTCATGTTTCCCAGCTTTTTTCCTTGCCCACTCCTCATTGTCCAATCCTCAAGTTCTCGCTTTCCTTTTATTTGTATTGTGCCTTTCTATATGTAATTCCTCTTTTGAGTTCTTATACTAGGAAGACAATACGATATTTACACATGTGGGTCTAGTTTATTTCACTTATATCTTCAAGTGGCATCCACTTAAATATGAAGGCTTCGAGTTTATCATTCTTTATAGCTGAGTAATACTCCATTGTATAAAAATACCACATCTTTTTCAACCATTCCACATGTGACAGGCATCTTGGTGGTTTCCAAGATCTGGCTGTCACAAATTGTGCTGCTATAAGCATAGGTACGCATATATCACTATGATATGACGCTTTGAGTTCCTCCAGGAAAATTCCCAGTAGGGGGATAGCAGGCTTGAATGGGATTTCCAGTCCTAGTTGTTTAAGGAGTTTACACAATGACTTCCATAATGGTTGTACCAGTCTACACTCCCACCAGCAGTGGAGAAGGGTTCCCTTTTCCCCACAGCCTCTCCAACATTTGTTGTTGGTGGATTTCTTTATGATAGCCATTCTTTCTGGGATGAACATTTTGGTATAAGGTCTAGATATATATAGATATAAGTGGGGGGAGTTTCTGGGTTGCTGGTTGCTTGGTTGGTTGTTTTAAATGCTGGGTATTGAACCCAGGGCCTCGTATGTTAGGAAAGTGCTCTACCACTGAACTAGTATACCAGCCCCACCATGTATCTTTGATATTAACCATTCTGGTGGGTGTTGTTTCAGTTGTGGCTTTTCGGTGCGTAATAACCTTTTCTTGTGTTTGTGAGACATTTTGTCTTCCTCTGCTTTTCACTTACAGAATGTCCTGGTACTCAGTCTCCACTGGGCTCTCAGTTGAGTCCTCTTTCTCCTGAGAATTCCTTAATAAACATCAAAGTTGTTGAGGTCCTCACCCTGAACCAGGAGGTGGCTGGTCCCCGGAATGCCCAGATTCAGGCCCTTTATGCAGAAGACAAGGGCCTGAGCACAGACACCATGAGGGAGCCAGGCCAGCAGCTGGGAAAGCATCCAGCAGCCCCTGAAGTTGCTCGCCAAAGGTTCCGGCAGTTCCATTATGAGGAGGCCACGGGTGCTTCGGAGGCTGTCAAACAGCTCCGTGAGTTGTGCCACCAGTGGCTGCGGCCTGAGGTGCACTCCAAGGAGCAGATTCTTGAGTTGCTGGTGCTGGAACAGTTTCTGGGTGCATTGCCTGGGAAGTACAAAGCGTGGGTAAAGGCACGGCACCCTCAGGACTGCCAGGCGGCCATAGCCTTGGTAGAGGATGTGACATCAATGACCAAGGAAGGTGGTGAGTACAGAGGGATGGTGGGGTCAAGGATATCTTTGAAGAGGGTGCTAGAGAGGAGAGGAAGAACTGTTACTACTGCACAGACAAATGGTGCCTGGTCTCGTGTGTGTTACCCGAAGTAACTGAGTGATGATGCTGTACGCTGTTCTTTAACAAACTTTCCACATGCTTCCAGCGGAAGCTCCTGGATATAGCTCTTTCCTGTAATCCCTTTTGAGAGCCAGGCTGCCCATAGCCATCCACCTCTCCAAAAGGACTGTGGATGAAGTAGTGAGCAAGGCAGAGTTACTGAGCCTGAGGCCCCATAGGAAAAATGGAGCTGTGACATTTATGCATGTGGCATTCCTGGGTGTGGAACAGGCCAGTGGTACTGGCAGGACTTATGGAGGCCAACACCTGTGTGAACTAAAGCTTGGCCAGATGAAGAAGTGAGGGGAAGGATGTGCCAAGCAGAGGTAGTATCGCCTATGAGGTCCCAAGATGGAAGTGATCAGGATACAATAGGCATTTGTCAGGGAAACATTGGGTAGCTCTATGGTAGAAGGAATAGGATGGGATGCTATTAGGGTTCCAGTGGGCTTGTTTTTATTCTTTAAAAATTAGACGATACTTGCATCATTGCCCAGCATGAGAGTGATTCTCCTGTGCCAGCCTCATTAGTAGCTGAAACTGCAGCACACACTAGTATACCAACTTGTAGGGATTTGCACGTTGCCTTATAACATTGGACAGTGTTATGCTGTGGCAGTGGGTATGTCCCTGAGTTGTGTGAGCAGCCCTGATGTGATGTGAGCTTTGGTCTCCTGGCTGTAGCATGTGCGAGTGGTAGACTGCGGATGGGGCAAGGTTAGAAAGCCATTGGTCACCCCAGAACCAGAGGTGTGCTCACCATGGGGGCTGATGGTTTTACAAGGATAATGGTGGGAGGAGAAAGAGCACCAGGTGAGACTGTGATTTGCTTCTTCCATCGGGCTGAATTTTAGGAACATCAATGTTCTTTCGTTGGTCACTTTTATTTTCCATGTGCCCAGGTGCCTAGACATTTCTGGAGTGAGAACATAGTTAACTAGTTAACATTTGTGCCTGCAGAGGAAGGAGAAAGCAGGCAAGCAGGAACAGGGACTATCCATTTCAGATGTACTAACTATTGTCTAGGCAGAGTCATTGCCCCAAAGCTGCCCATGTCTGAGAACTGGGATCAATAGAGCATGTTACATCACGTGGCCACAGGCACTTCATGGAGTCATGGAAGGAGATAGAATGACAACAGCTGGGCAGGGTGGCACGTGCCTGTCATCCCACCACTTGAGAGGCTCAGGCAGGAGGATTGCTACAAGTTTGGGTCCATACTAGACTATATAATGAATTCAAGGCTGGCAAGATGTGTTTTTTTGATTGAACTCAGGCCCTTGCACCTGCCAGGGAAGCGCTTATTCCACTGAGCCATCTTCCCAGCCCTAAGGCTGGCCAAAGGTCTGTCTCAAAAAAGGCAAGAGCAGTGGTGATACAGGGGAGGCCCCATGAACCAGGATTTAGGAGCAGCCTAGAGAAGCTGAAAAGGCAAGGAATAAATTTTCCCCTTGACCCTCCTCACAGGCCACAGTCCTGTACCTCCAGGTTCATGTCCTCTGATCTCTAGCAGGTTAAGGTGATTTGTGTTCATGTGAGCCACTAAATTGATGGCAACTTGTTATAGCCCCAACAATGTAACTGAAACAGATGTTAAGAGAGACAATTTTAGAGTTCCTGAGATCAGTTGTCCTGTGTTTAACACCTCAAAGATGAATAGAGTTCTTTAGTTTACAGAGAAAGATAGGAAGAAGCCTCCAGAGGGCTCTAAAAGTATTGTATGTTTACTAAGTGTGTTAGTTGGGACTTGGTATGAGTGCCATAAAATCTTACATAGAGTGGCTCTAAGGAGACAAAAATGGTCAAGTTCCAGGAGGAGGAGAGACTGGTGGGCAGCCAGTCACATCATATGCCCCATTGACAGCAGGTAGAAGTCCATGAGACTACCTGGCGACACACGAAGACCAAATGTGAAGGAATGGGGTTGGGGGCTTGGCAGGGCAGGTGTTTCCTAAGGTAGAAGACACTGAGATGAATGCACCAGTGGCCAAGACCATCTTCTATGAGGTGTCAGAAGAGATGGGGGACAAGCAGGGGGATCCACCAGACCAGGTCAGGAGCCCAAACCCATGAGGAATGAGGGCTGTCCCTGAGAAAAATCAGGCCCCAAGACAGTCCCAGGAGTGTGCAGAGACAAAAGAGGGTCTTGGCAGTAGTGAGACTGACCTGTGAGCCTCCCAGCAGTTAGACTTTGGTCACAACCTGTGAGAAGCAGGGCTAGAGGGCAGAGAGTATGGAAACCCAGGGCATGCTACCTGAAGCCCTGTGCACCCCAACCCTGTGTGTGGTGTTTCTTCCAGCCCTGCCTGCCCGGGTGTCTGCCTGCTTTCCCAAGGCCACCGTTCAGCAGCAGAGGAAAGAGAAAGATACAGCAGTCTTGCCAGTGGCAGTGCTACCAGAGGTGAGTGGGCCCTCGCCCTCTTGCTCTAGCACAGTATCCCAACAGTGGGTCCCTACTGTCTGACTTTTCAAGGCCTATTACAGGCTGGGCTGCTCTAAAGCAACCCACAAGCTTAGAACAGCACTGCCTGTGCCCAGAGACATCCATGAAGACCAGGACAGGCCACCATACCTTGGAGTGGAGAGAATCCATTATAGGACTGGGACAGACATAGAAGAGGAGCTGGATGTGAAGGAAGGATAGCTCTGCTGCTGCAGAAAGGACTCAGGGTTTCTGTGTGAGCCAGACAGTTTGAGATTCCTCTCCCACGGCTGGGATATGGGCCCAGCAGGACTGGTACTGTTCGGTCATTCATTAGAATGGTGCTGGATACAGCATTGCTTACATCTGTTCACGTTGTAAGTGGCTTACACTAGCTCAGGAATTTGAGTGAATTCATTGACTTACATGTAATGAGGGATAGGGTCAGGCTGCCAGCAAGGCTGCATCTAGGTGCCCCGGGTAATAGGAAGAATCTGTGACCAACCAGTCTTGTGGCTTGTCCCTTTCCTTTTCAGGCAGGCTCTTCTCCATCTGGGCAGAATGCACCCCAGAGCCAGGCAAGGGGGTGGAGAGTCCTGGTCAGCTGCCCAGAAAGTACTTCTGGTGGCACAGACTGTCCATGAAGCCAGAGGCTTTGTCCACCACTCGGGGAGGGCAGCACCCACTGGGATGTTGTGGATAAACACAGGCTGCACTTGTAGTTCTGCCTCCAGCCTGATGGGGCTCTGGTCATGCAAAGAGTCCTGGTGCACTCATGGGCCCAGTCACTATTGCATACAAACCCCCAGGGTGGCAGAGGCCCGGGTAAACACATGTGTACCATTACAGGAGCCAGTGACCTTCCAGGACGTATCTGTGGACTTCACCCAGGAGGAGTGGGGCCTGCTGGGCCCGCTGCAGAAGACTCAGTACCACGATGTTATGCTGGAGACCCTGGGAAACCTGGTCTCCGTGGGTAAGGCTGCACTGCCTCCTCTGGGACTGGCTGCACACTCAGGGTCCCTTGTTCTATCCAGGGCCTTTAACTGGAACCATGGGCCTGCAGGGTAGAAGCGTGGGAGGATAGAACTATCCTCCCATCCTGGGGGCAACAGCGTCTCAAGGCACTTCTGCCGCTGACCATCTCTTGGTTATAGAATTGAACCTTCCCCTCTTGGCTGCTTCTCAACTTTTTACAGTTGCTCCCCAGTTTGAATGACTGTGGATCCCATCCTGGCACCATCTCTGCACTGTACACCTTCTGGTTTCTTTCAGGGTGGGAGACTGCAGTTGAAAACAAAGAGTTAATTCCTGATTCCAATGTTCCTGCTGAAGAACCCATTTATGACCCAGAAATGAATGAATTGTCTAGGGAAGACAAGCAGCCCTCTGCCTTGGAAGATCCTGTGCAAGGTGACATCACAGAAGTCATGCATGCAGCATTTCAAGAAGAGGAGCTGGCTCAGGATAAAGCCATGCCCCGGAAGCACCTCACCGAGAACCCCAAGTCCCAAGCAGACCCTGGTCTCCACACAATTAGAACTTCACCCCAGAAAATTCCTCTTAGGAACTGTTTGCGTAAACCACTCTCACAGTGTAAAGATGTGATCCAGAGTTCACATGTGAAAGATTACCAGAAGGGCTGTGAGTCAGACAAAGCCAAGGACAGCAGTGGTGGCGTGACCCAGCGTTCACTTGTGAAGGCCCAGCAGAAGGGCTGTGAGCAGGGCAAAGCTGGGGAGAGCAGTGGTCATGTGACCCTCCATTCACAAGTGAAACTTGTCCAGAGGGGCTGTGAGCTAGGAAGAGTCAGGGAGAGCCGCAGTCATGTGCAGCATTCACATGTGAAGGCTCACCAGAAGCCCCATAAGCAGATCAAAGCTGAAGAGAGCAGTGGTGGCAAGAAAATCATCAGCCCACGGGTTCAGCAGGTCATGTTTATAAAAATCCATAGTGGGAGCCAAATTTGCCGATGCAGTGCATGTGGGAAGTTGTTCCGAAACCCAAGGTACTTTTCAGTACATAAAAAAATCCACACAGGAGAAAAGCCATATGTTTGTCAGGACTGTGGGAAGGCTTTCGTGCAGAGCTCCTCCCTCACGCAGCACCAAAGGGTGCATAGTGGTGAGAGGCCCTTTAAGTGCCAGGAGTGTGGCAGGACCTTCAATGACCGCTCAGCTGTTACCCAGCACCTGCGCACCCACACAGGAGCCAAGCCCTATGCCTGCCAGGACTGTGGTAAGGCTTTCCGCCAGAGCTCCCACCTCACCCGGCACCAGAGGACACACACTGGAGAGCGTCCCTATGTGTGCTGCAAGTGTGGGAAGGCCTTCACCCAGAGCTCCCACCTCATTGGCCACCAGAACACACATGGCAGGAAGAAGCTCAAGAAGAAGCACAAGCAGCCACCTCCTGTCTCCTAGCCCCATACCAGTGGGAACATCTGTCCCACCCCATCCTCTGTGATTCCCCTGCCTGAAGAGGATGTGTGACAGAAGCCAACAAGGACATCCTGTGATCAAGACACCAGCACAGTGTGCTCAGCACATGATGAGTAAATAGATAAACTGGGAGACTTGCTAATCAGTACACATACTGGAAAGAAAAGATTTAATTTTTATTGAAAGTGCAATTAGTGAAACTGAAGATGCTTACAAATTTTAAAAATCAGGTATCAAATCTGCACTAATATATCTGTAATAAAATATTTATGTCAGCAAAGTCCAAGAGAATATGGATAAATAAACTATATTTTTGTTTAGAACTTGTTTCTTTCCTAAACAATGGTTTGATACTTAAAATAAGCAACATTTGAACGTGAGGTGTGAGGAAGTCCTGGCAGATCTGCACACAACTGAAGCACATTGCCCCAGAGTTCCAGGTAAGTCCAGACGGGGTCATTCCCTTGCTGAGGAATCATCCGGAGGACCAGAACCCCTGCGCAGGGGACCCTCCTGGAAAGTGAAGTAACAGTGCAGGCAGGCTGTACTGGGGTGTGTATTTGATCCCTACCTCTGCGCAGATGCACAGTGAGAGTCTGTGAGTTGCACAGCCTGTAGCATGGAGAGCACTCCACCCAAGATACTTACTGTTGCTCTTCACAGCTCCAAGCGACACTGAAAAACATTAGGGCATGTGATTAACATGCACAAGGCCCTGGGTGGGTGTGTTCCTACTCCCTCAAAGTAAAAGTATTCTATAGGTATGGTGGGCACATGGAGTGTAACTGGCAATTTAGCGAGACTGTCTCAAAAGTGTAAAAAATGAGTGGAAAAATTCAGTAGACGTGTGCTGCTCGCCATGAGCTCCTCACCATGAGCTCGTGCATTTCAAGCAAGTGTACGCAGGTCCTCCGTGGTGAGCGTGCTTAACCCTTTTCTCTGAAGACATGAATAGGTTTTGAAGACAGGACTTGATGATGGTAGGTGCTGGAAGCCAGGTGCAAAGAGGACACCTGCAGCCCTTAGTGCTTTTCATTTGTCAGGCCCACACGGGACATGACTGCTACAAGGTACTAAGTGATTCCGGCAACCTGGATTGAGTGCTTTTTCAAGACATCCACAACTGGCCCAGCAATGTGTAGCCAGGAGGGGTGCCTCCTGAATACCACATCCTCCCCTCACCACTCTGAACCAAGGGATGAGACTTAAAGTCTGACCCCACTAACTTACTTCTAGGCCCCAAATCCTGAGATAGCGTAGGACAGTGTTGGTGAGCCTGTGGTGGTGTAACAGCCAGGATTGGATATATTGCCCTCAGGAGACCAAATTAAAAGGAACTACAGAATTTCATTAGCTGGTAACCTATGAACTCCCCTCTCCATCTGGGAAGACAAAGGCCCTGTTCTTGGTTCCCTACCTGCTTTTATAATGAGAGGAGAGAGAGGGATGAGAGAGATTGTTGCTATGGCAACTGGGCAGGAATGTAGTCCCCCCTATATCCTATAGGTGGCAAGGTCTCAGGCAGAGGGATTTATGACTAAGCATGGGCAAATAGTCTTATTGCCCTAAATGAAACCTGTCTTCTCTTTTATCTCATGTTTGTGAAGTTCTGACAGGGCACAAGGAGTGAGTAATGGGGTAATTTAGGCAAGCCTGCTTCTGTGTAAATACTTGAGGCAGGGATTAAACAATTGAATTCTGCCTCAGTTTCTTCTAAAGTGAATAAGGTATTATGCTGGATGCCATTCCTTGCTCCCCCCCCCCTTAGACATACAGGTTTTTTCACGTAAAATATGAAAGACATTTTTCTTTTTAAGAAATGTCTCTGAAAGTGGTAGCTTATCACTTCATATTTAGTGTTACCCTTCATCTCTATTGGATTGGACGGTCTAATCACCTCCATGTTTGGGTCCTTACCCAATTGACCAGACAAGGCCTTGCAACAAACATGACTAGCAGGGCAATTATTGGCCCAGGGATTCCCGTTATGAGAGAGTAACCTGGGGCTCCAGTTAAATAGGGAATCATACCCTGTGGGGCCATCATAGTCATACCATCTTTTTCTCTCTTCAACATCACAGTCTAGTTTTTCTAGGGTCTCTGTAATGACCCCTGACTTGACATAAAAACACTTTTCCCCTAAGGCTTCACACAGTCCTTGTTTCATGAACACCAAATTAAGTCCTCATCTGTTTTGTTAGACTACTGCCAGAGAATTTATGTGCTCATGTATCTGTTTTACCACAGCTTGGACTCCAGCCACAATTTGCTTTATACTGTCAGTTATCCGGTGAAGTCTCAGCAGGCCAGTCTCTAAATGGACTATGGCCCGTATTCTGGTAGCCAAACTTCCTGTTTGAGCTACCCTGGCTAGAATTGGCACTAACACAAGGGTTGCCCTTCATACATGCGTATGCCTTTCATGTATGAAGGTCTCAGTGAACAGATGTCTTTCAGGTCCCCTTGAATGATTTGTACTTGGGAAATCAATGTAGTTACTGGGAAGTAGGGCCCATCCCAGTTAACCTCTGTCTATGATCTCGACACTTAAACCCATTGGTGTAGAAAAACCATACACTTGGGGATCCCGATAGGTGAGATTTTGTGGAGCCAGCACACTGCAAGTAACCTGATTTTTTTCTTAGGCCAACACAAAATCTTTTTCTTTACACTTTTTACCATCAACAGAGACTATCTCTTTCTCTTGAAAAGTACAAGCGTATTGGTTTTACAGGTTCTAAGGATGCTACAGCCTCATAAAAGGGTAGACTGGACCTTATACTGATGTAGGGCTGGACAAGTTTAGCAGATAGGGGATTTCATCAAGCAGCTGGTAGATTTCCGACTTAGGTCCTAGGCCACCGGTCTCTGTTCGGGGGGGATTTGGTCTTATCTGCCTAGGTTCTGGGGTTGACAGCAGGTTTATACTGACTGGCATTTGGGATAATTATCAGGCCAGTGTTTTGTACATGATGCAGTGAATCAAAGCTGGGAAAGGGTCCATTAACTTTCGAAGGGTTGCCTCTACCCAGGTGATCTTGATGAGTATCCCTGGGTCATATTCTGAGACTGTGCCAAGGTGCATCACACTTCCCACATGAGTCTGGTAGACCAAAGTGGGTCATCAACATTTTTTAAAACAATTCTCACCTGTGTTCAGAACCCATCTGAGTACCCAGTGGAACAACCAGCACGTTTTTCCCTGTACAACTAAATATGTGCATCACTTTGTATCCACCAACTAGTTAAGGAGTTCAGGTCCCTCTGAGGACTTCCTTTAAAAACCCCTTTAAGCCCACTTGTCTCACAACCCCAGTGTGGGCAATATGCCTCTTTAGCACAATTCCCTCTCGTCACCTTTGGGATAGGAGGGAAGATTAGATTTTTTTTTTTTTTTTTTTTTGTTCAGAACCAGGGATTAAACTCAGGCCCTTGCACTTGCCAGGGAAGCACTTATTCCACTGAGCTAACTCCCCGGCCCCAGGAAGGAATATTTTGCTGGATCAGCCCTTTCCTTCTAAAATTCTAGGTTCCATAACTTACGTGTGGGGACAACAAATCCTACAGTCTGTTGAGCACACGGGAGGTGTAAAGAAGCAAGCACAGCCTGCCTAGGTCTGACAGGGTCCAACTTTGGTCACTCAGAAGTGTTAACTGAAGAGGTGCTCTGGAGTCTCCGAGCCACAGCAGTCGCTATCCATCCCATGATAGCTGCCAAGACCAGCATCACCTCAAACAGCAGGTTCACTGTGATGACAGACAGAGCTTTCTTTCACCTGAGTCATTCAGACTATTGAGGTGCACAGGGTCCAGGGGAAGGCAGGACTGGTGGCACTTCAACTACCCACTTTTTCACTTGTGAGTGATGAATCCATAGCTTGCAACCTGTGACTTTAACACCGGTGGGTGTGCAGTCGGGGTAACATCATATGGCTCCTCCTATCTGGGCTGGAAGGGCTCCTACCTCCAGCTTATGATTAATATGCAGTCCTCTGGTTTGAAAGCATGTACAGGGTTATGGAGAGGGAATGGCTATTCTAATCCAGTTTTCTGCAGTCCCTCCAAAGTCCTTTGCAAGGCCTGCAGTTGCTATTTCAGGCTGAGTCCCAGTCTCACAGTCCCTCCAATACTAGCACCAAGGGTGGCAGTCTTCCAAGAAGGATCTTAAAAGGAATGAGCCCTTCCTGGAGGGCAGTGTGACCACAGCTTGGCCATCAGAAGCATAGACACCTAGTTCGCACCTGTCTCCTGGCATAGTTTGGACAGGGTGCTCTTCAGGGTGTGGTTTTGCTGCTATATTTAGCCTGAGCTTTGGGGTTGGTAGTAAGTATGTAGATTCCATTTTAGGCCCCAAACACTGGAAATGCTCTGAACTACTCTACCCACAAAAGCAGACCTGTTATCTGAGCCTACCATAGTGGAGAGCCCGTACCAGGGTCAATTCGTTCCATCAGTGCTTTTCCCATCTCTCTGGAGTTCTCAGTTCTGGTAGGCAGGGCTTCTACCCATCCTGAGTAGGTGCAAATAAGCACCAGCAGATATTTTTTGTTTCCAATGATTGACTTGACCTCAGTAAAGTCCACTCCACCATCCTCAAAAATGAGCATTCCTTGTCAGTGGAGGCCTGGTTCACGCTGTGGGCAAGAAACTGGATTATTAGCACAAGTCACATATTTGCTGGCCACTGAGGTGTGTAAGGTCCAGTAGAAATAGTGGCCAAGCAGCTTGGCCATAGCTGTCTTGCCCAGATGGGTCTTGTCACGTAGGTCCCAAATCACAAAATGTTCTATGTGTTCAGGCAAAAATTACTCTTCCCCCTGACAAGATGTGCCACCCATTTCTCTCTGAAGCCCCTTCTGGCTTGGCCCACAATAACTCAGTCTCAGAATATTTGGGTGGCTGAAAGAGTAGCGCTACCATGACACATGCTTCTGGCCGTGAGCTCCACACAGCAACTTGCCTTGCTGCCAGGTCGGCAGCCCTATTGCCTTGGCCTTTCTGATGTGCAGGACAGTGTATCACTGCCACTTCAGTGAGCCACCGTAATTCCTCTAACAAGCTTAAAATCTCCTGGGAGTTTTTCATGTCTTCCTCCTGAGGATAGGAGGCCTCTTTCCTTTTGGACTGAAGTCCCCGGGGGCACTGTTCCTGACCACACCATCTTTTCCACAGTCATTACTCCCCCGCCCCACCATACCCCATCAATTACCATACTGCTTCCATCTGCACACAGAACGAGGTTGGTGTCTCAGAGTGGTGTGTCTTGTAGGTCAGGTCTTGCAGAATAAATAGCCTCATGGTCTCCACA